CTCTTCTTAAGTTTTTATAACTACTTTTGGTAGGGGCATCATGAATAAGTATATGCTACACTAAACTTATTGTACAAATCTAGTTCTTAAGAGCAGCAATCCATTCCTTGTTTTGGACCTTCTTAGCCTTAGCAGCAGCCTTAGCCTTACCATTAGCACGAGCTTCTTCGTTAAGGATAGCAGCACGTCTGACAGTTTGGGCGTATGGGTTGAATCTAACTAAAACACCAACATTCTTAAGTGGGTTCTTTCTTTGAGTGAATGGACGTTTGGTGTGCTTTTCATTGGCAGCCTTAACAACACTTTGAATTTCATCAGAGTTAATAATACGTGGAAGATCAGCATTAGTAAGGATAGTTTGTGGGAGCTTGTAATCCTTCTTAGCTTCAGAAGCCTTCTTGAAAGTACCGAAGACAGAGTCAAGCTTTTCAAAAGCACCTTGAGTCCAGATAACGAAACGACCTAAGTGACCACCTGGAGCTAATTGTAAAAGGTTAAGAGCGTTGACATTGGCAGTTTCAACACCTGGAATGTTTCTGAAAGCCTTAGTAATACCGTTGTCTTCGTTGAAAATAACGAGTGGACCACGACGTTGAGTGTATCTTCTTCCTCTCATCTTACCCTTACCGGCACGGAGCTTCTTAGAAGCAATGCAACGTTCAACTTCAGCGTAAGCATTGATAGATTTTAAGAGAGAAATAGCTTCCTTAGTTTTGGTGTATGATTCAACATCGTTAGCAACAACAAGTGGAATTTCTTCAACATTATCGATCTTGTGACCACGAGCGAAAACAAGAGATGGAACACCAGTAGCGGCAACAGCAGAAACGGTGGCGTATCTCTTTTGGTTTTGGTTGGTCTTGATTTGCCATTTTCTCCAGGTCTTGGTTGGGGCGAACATACGACCACCACGACACATGTTACCAAAAGCAGCTTGTCCGGCACGGTGTGTACCTCCACCAGAAACACGTGGAATACGAGCAACAGCACGTCCAGTACCCCATGATTCAGCACTGGTTTGGTGACCAGCTTGTGGTGAAACACAGTATGGTTGACGCTTGTTCTTAGCAATGTTGGTATGAACAGAGTTAACAATATCTGGACGAATTGGAGCCTTGAAAACAGCTGGGAGGGTTACGGTAGCAGTAACACCTTCACCAGATTGAGAAAATACACTAATAACTGGTCTTGCGGCAGCGGACATTTTATA